ATGTCATTGAAAGCATTGAAATCATTCACCATCTAAAAGCCCAATTCTGAATTTAGATGCATAAACAGGGTATGCAAACTATTATTATTATATAACTAAAAATAATTCTTATTTTCTTCTCTGCCAGAGCCTAATATCCTGAACCCACTGAAAATATTATTTTTGAGATACGTGTATCCGGCGAATCATTTCTAGTGTAGGGTATACAACAATGGCCCATAGCGATCAACATGAGGCATTTGTGTGTGTGTCTGTGTGTGTGTGTGTGTGTGTGAGTGAGTGAGAGTATACGTGAGTCAGTATGCTTGTGCGTAAGCGTGAGCGTGTGTATATGTGTGTGCATGTTACATTGTTGCGTCTCCGTGCGGCGGGTTCGTTCCACTTTTCTACTGGAGCAGGCGACAGACGTGAGAGAGGAAGAGAGGGAGAAACGTCTGAAGTGTTGCCTTCAGGGGAACAGACGCAAACGCAGACGCAGACCACTCTTCGGTGCATTGCATAGGCCATGGAGGAGGGTGCTTGGCTACCATTTGGTTTTCCATTCTTAAGGGTGCTTCTCAATGCGCTCGCCGCACGCACTTTTTGCCAAGCCACGGCGAGGGCCAGGTCCAGGTGCGCACGCAGCGATAACAATTTCGTCTTCTACCTTTTCCACTTTTCCTCAGTTTTTCTCGGCGCACATTCGGGACAGCTGTTGGGCCTTGCTGTAGACCTGCAGTACTTCATATGCTTGTTCGTATCGTGTAGTTAGTTGTCCCTAACTCGGTAGGGACATAATCTAAGCGCAAAAGGGTTTCTCACATCCGCTCGGAAGCTCCCACGCTCCATTAGAAGGAGCTTTAGTTGGGCTGATTGCAGCTGATCAGAGACAGAAAGAGAACGAGATAGTAAGATAGAAAATAAGAGAGAGCGACAGAGCGCGAGTGAGTGAGGGCACAGCGTGCTCCGAGATTTACTGATCTACGAAATTTCCTGGAATTTTAGTGAATGGAAAAACAAAAGCGCAACGAACGGAGTTTGTTAAGAAGCCGAGCATTGCCTCTACCTATCGGGCCTCAAACCTGAAGCTGAGAACCTTGTCTTGCATACATGTACATGTGTATGTATGTATGAGTGTGTGTACACAAATATAGTGTATACATATTTGTATGTACATATACATATGCATACATACAACCAGATACATATACATATGTCAGGAATGTACTCGCATCTCGTACTTGGCTCTGGTGTTTGCTCTTCACATATACATGCACAAACACATAGACATGCACATACACATAGACATATGAGCACACATACACGTTCACATATGCCTATATGTTTCTCTTCATTTTTTGTTTTCGGAGGTTCTTGTTTCTCGTAGCCTGCCCCGGCACAGCTTTTATACTACTCTTGCTCTCTCTCCACTCGTTCTTCCTCTTGTTATTGTAACTTAAACTAGCTGAAAACGTGAACGCATATCCCAAATTTGAAAACCGGTAAGCCAGGCCAAAGGCAACCATCAGGTAGTCCAGCGCTTCTTCAATAAGCACCCAATTCCTTCAACTTAGGGCTAAGTCTTCTTCTTGGGGAAGTCATCTTGTGGAGATAGAACATGCTGATCGACTATCTAACTAAACTGAGCACATAATAGATTATATTCATTTTAAAAATAATAAATATCGACATGAGGTGGTATGAACAATTGAATAATTATAATTGAGATAAACTTCAAATCTCGCGCTTATTACGTCCTCATGGCAATCTTTAAACTAGATCAATGCGCACCTGCAGAGACTGGGATGAATACGCCTTCAAGGATTATAATTCTAATCTTATTTAACCTAATTTGAAAGAGAAATTGATTCTCCCCACATATTTCGATTTCAGATGCACAGTAAGATATTTCATAAATATTCATTTAATGTCATATAGAATGATGGGGTATATTATTTCACGATCATTTTGGCATGCTTTACAAATATTTTATAAGAAATGTATTTATAGACGGAATCAGAGATAATCGATCTATTAGATAATAATAATAATTGAATATGGTTCTGATTTGGGTCTAAGCTTCAGCCTTCCATATATCAGTAAATCAATTTGTCTTTATATAAAATTCAAATTGAATAATAGTTATGTATAAATTTATATCTAATTATAAAAAGGAAAATATTTTCCAGAAAAACAAGATATCTCAGACAGAAGTGCAGCTGTAGTTAACTTCAATTCTAGCAGAATTATACAGACCAATTTGTTCTTATCAGCTCAGCTCCAGTGTTGAAGAGTCCAACGAACCTCAAAACCGTAGCAAAACTGGAATTCCAATGGTTGACGTAGACCCCTGAAGACCGAAACAGACCCTATATACCCCGCCCACCTAGCCAACAGCCGTTTTTGGCATGCGCTAAAGGAAGAACGACAGCTGCAAGCCACTCGCCGTAGTACGTCAGTCGAACCACTCTCGCATCGGCTCGAATCGAGAAAGGTGAGTTGAGTTGAGTTGGGCTGCGCTGTGCTGCGGTATGTGCTGAGGTCCTTGCGGGTAGCCTCTACCCGCTTCAAACCTCATCGAACCTCTGCCTCGAACCCTATGCAACGTGGCAACTGCAATGCTCGGCTATGCTGCAGCCTGTACACAGGATATTCATCGAAATGCCTGTCTATGCTTTTTGGGGGTACAGTTCGCAATTGAGCGTGACGGCATGTAAAAGAATTAGAGAGGCAGAGTAGATTTATGTATGTATATACATGTGTGTGTGTGTGTGTGTGTGTGTGTGTGTGTGTGAGGCGGCAATTCATCTCCTGGTTCATATCCGTCTGCATTTTCGATTTTCGAGCAAATTTCGCCGATTTTGGCTGATGGGTTTTTGGCGCATCCGTTTAAAAATGACTTATTATGGGTTCGATATTTGATTCAGTTAAATTTGAAGGTCTGTAATTTGTATTTTTTGGTAGTGGAACTGCGCTCTGTTATTATGATTCTGTTGTTTATTTCCTGTTCTGTATTTGCATTATAAGGAATTTGATTCGCTTTGGGCTTCCCGCTGCCATTGCTGCTGCTGCTGCTACTGCTGCAGCCGGGTGCTAATTGCGCTGCAGAGTTCATTGACTGACCGCCTAGACGAATAACTAGTTGCACGCATTGTTCACTTAGCACCTGTCGCAGCGGCGCAGCTAACTTAACCCTTTGCCGTATTTGTATTACATTTATGCGATTTGCGCTATAGGAGACTCAAAATCATGAATTGAATTCGCCGTTGCGTCTGCGCTGACGCTTTAGGCTTTGTGCTGACTCGCAAACAACCCTGCACTGGGCAAAGGGCACTGGGCACTGGGTGGGCCAAAGCCAAGCGAGTGAGCTAGCGTGCGTGTGTGTGCTGAAGCGAGCACGTATGATCACTGCATTATCCTCCCCAATTGTTTTGCTCTCGCTTTGCCTGGCACTGTTACTGTTGTTGTTGCTGTTGCTGTTGCTGTTGCTGCATTCCTGCCGTACGCCCGTTACTCTGTTGCTCTCTCTCCTCTTGCTATGCAAGCAGACGCATAAGACGATCGAATGCGCTCTCTCGCGCTCTCCCTCTCTTTGTCACACACACACACGTATACACACTCGCTCTCCTTCTGGCGCTCTCTCACTCTCTTTGAAGTTCGAACTTCTTGCTGTTAATGTTATTATTATGGTCGTTGTTATTGTTGCTGTTGCCCTGCAATTGCATTCCTGTTTGTCTGCCGCCGTCACTGCTTCCTCTTCCTTCTGCTTCTGCTTCTGCTTGCTTTTATGTTATTTGGCAGTTCCTTCAGTTCGCCACCAACTGCGTCCAGAACTACGCAGCATTTACAAAACGAACGCCGAAGAAAGTGGAAGTGAACCTCTAAAGAGGCGGTAGCCAACAGATCGAAGCGTTCCGATCCGTTCTGTTCCGTTCCGTACCGAACCGTAACGCAGCGCAAGACAACGCAATGCGCTCGTTATTAAATTGTTGACCATGCCGTGTTATTGTTGTTTATGTTAAAGTTTATACATCACTTGATATATTAATACGTGTTGCACACAAATCGTTGAAACCAAACAAATTTAATTTCGCTTATAAAGTGCTCGAAATTATCGTTGAAAATAAAACATAACATAAAACAAAACACAATACATCATGATACCCATGCTAATATGAAGGATTACAAGTCGAACGAAAAAAAAAATAAAAAACAAAATACAAAAATCATAAAATATAAAATATGAGGATAATATCCAATGAGTCTCAAAATATTCATGCAAGCTATTTAATTTAACTAAAATATGTATTCATTTTGAAAACGGTTCGAAATTTAAGTCAATGCAATAACCTGATTAAAAGTCTTTTTAAATTATTTGTTACTCGTTTGAATTGTTATTTCGCCTTTTTATGTTGTTTTACTCTTAAACTGTTGAACAAATCATTTAAGTTTTATCTTTTATCTCTAACTTATTGATATTCGGCTTTCAACTATTGTCATTAAAATCTCTGTCCCTGTGGAGCGTCTTGAAATCTCCTAGTTAACACTGATAAACAAATAGCTTGACATAAATCGATCGCACTTCCAACTCTCTTTAACGAAAAACACTTTTGGATTACACGTTTTTGGATTTAAACTCTATGCCACGCGATACGTAAGTAAAGTCAGCAATTAATATTGCAAGCTAACCACAACCGCAACTGCAACAACAATCAACAAATTAAGTAGATATTTCTGTTAAATAGTTTGCTAGAATACCCTTATAGAGAGTACACACAACGTATCAACGTAGCCTGAACCGACTTTCCACAAGTATTCTCTATACCTTTGACCAAAATTTGTATATATTTGCCCAAGTAAAGGTTAAGAGTACTCTAGTCGAGAATGTCCGATTAGAGGACAATCTGATTGCGTTTGGACTTTTGTGTACAAAATTTTTTTGGATGGAAAAATATTAGCATCCATATCTTTATATTTTCCAAAGCACAAGTTTTCTATTTAAATAGAAATGCATATCAAGGTGAAAATTACAATTGTGTTGTTCATTCTTGTGGAGATCCCCTCACAATTACTTATATATATATGGGTACAAAAATGGAACAATTCGATCATTTTATATCTACCCTGATCAACTGCGAAAATTACTTCTGAGCTGATTTCTAATTGTTCTAAACTGCTTTCGGACATGCCAAGTCATTCTCCAGTTCTTTGAGACGAGTAATTATAAATAACAATCAGCTTCAGATGTAGAAATAATTTTTGTATATACATGTGGACAGACATCAGCTCGCTATTTATGGTTTTGCGAGAGGTTCAGTGACAGTGAACTAAAAACAAAGTTGACTAGAATCGAGCCGGTATCAGAGTCCAGGTCCAAGTCCAAGTCAGACTCGAACGGCCGTTTTTCTAGCCATATTTTATAGAGTGAATGTTTATTTCATGTTCATTTCTAAAAAGAAAGTTTCGTTTAATTTTGTATATATTGTAATTATGTTATATTTACCTTAATTTAAATATAAATATTTTGTAATTTATTATATGTAATTTAAATAAATATGCAATCTGGATAGTTGCCCCTACAATATACATATGTACAATAACATATATCCGAAACTCTGGGTTTCTATTATATGATTTATATTTTCCCTCTCGGCGAATTCAATAATAAATTTTTAAAATTTACGCAGACATAAACACAGACCTTCTTGAAAGTTGGTAGCCCTAAGAATGTAGAAGAAAAAACTACACATACACAGGGACAACGATAATTACATTAATAATAATAACGGCAACTAAACAATCAATATTATGACTGACATTCTGTCAAACGTGCAGGGACGTAAACGTCAACGTCAACCTTTCTAACTTTAATGTCCCTTCCGTTTATATACCCTGGACCCATTGAAAATGACGAAACAGGGTTCAACGACTTTGTCAAAATGTATGTAACAGGCTGAAGGAAGCGCATAAATGTATATATATTAATAATATATGTATGTATATCCTTGATCAGGAGAACGACTCCAGTGGATCTAGCCCTGTCCGTACTATGCGCATGACTATCGATTGTATCTGTCGCCGACGAGGGTATCCTGGTCAGGCATTCCCGACTGAAGCACTCTTGCTTATTTACTTTTTTCAAAATTTAAATATCGCCGTCACTAAGACTCTCAAGTTGTTTTCAAGTTGATTGCATTCCGCGGCTGTGCCGGCAGCGTCAACTTCGCTTCTGTCGTCGTCGTCGACGTCGTCGACATCTCTCCAATAGCTCTCATTCATTTCCCATGTCGCCTGTATATGGCCCTTGGAGATGCAGAGGCCACAGCAGGCAAAGGCAAAGGCCGAAGCCGTTGTCGTTGTCGTTGTCGTTGCGGCAGAGCAGAGAAGGACGAGGCGGAGGAAGAGGCAGTGTCTGTACAAATTATTTTGCGCCCCACTGGAAAAGGGGTTGCTGCAATCGCCGATGGCGAAGCCGACGACTATGAGATTGCCGATTATAAGGACGTTCATTCTCACTCATTCTTCTGGTTCGTTCTGCTTTAGTCAGCCCTGGGCAGATTTCGTACGGTGATTTAAACCTTTCTTTTGTAGTCCTTACATTGATTTCGGACAAATTCATTTAAGCTATTTTTTGACTAGAAATGAGTTGTTTATATGACTCAGTCAAATAAATTATCCGGAAGCTTTTATACATACATATATGTATGTATCCTACCTCAAAAATCCAGCAGACAATTCATATGCTCTATTCCTGGCCCTATCGGAAACGTAACTTAACTTCCATGCTACAATTCCTTTTTAAATTTCGACAGAATTTTTTTTTTTTTTTTTTTTTTGCGCTTTTGCTTCTTATGACCCCACAGCCAGGCAGTCTCCTAAGATGCTGTTATCCTTTAGTTTTTTTTTTTTAGAGAAGTTTGGCCCGTCATTTCGGGCTGAGTAGACAGCGTCTGCTTAACAGTGTGTGTGTGCCTTTTTTTTTTTTTTTTTGCCATCTTTTCTCACAGCGTCACCCTTAGGGCTGAGGAGCTACCCACCCCACGTTCTTCTTCTTTCCTTGCAGACTGCTCTCTTGTATGCATGCTAGGTTTTTTCTCTTTACGTGATTTTTTTTTTTTTTTTTTAGCTCATAGATAGCACAATATTTTGCGATCGTTTGTGCATGGAACTTCCCACGATCCTTGTGGACTTTTGTACTCAAGGAATTTGTATATATCTGTATGTGTGTGACGCACGCGTGTGTGTGCAATGTCATAAATACTTTTAATTAACTGGAAATGTGTGCATTCGCTTGTGTGTGCGTGTGCGTATGTCTGAACCGGCTGTAGCCGTCGCTCCTCGTCAAACATGCTGTCTCGCTTTAGCTGCCTTGTAAGAAACTGAAAGCAAAGTTGGGCGTGAGTTTTTATGTTTTGCGTCGTATTTACCGTAATTCGGTTAATTTTTTGTGAGCACTACGGGAATAGATAGATATGAAGACCCCAGTTAACAGTTGCCGATCAGTCTACGCAAACACACAAACGTAACGTATTTGAGCAGATGTGTTTATCTAGTTCAATGAACTTTACTGTGTGTTAAAACAGACGAAACATTTTTATATGAATGTAGAAAATACATTTACATACATAGCAATAAGTATTAATGTCGTTTATAAATTTACGTGTGGTTATAATGTTAACTTAATTTATTCTTAGTTCTGTTATGTTAGCCTAACAGAGAATCATCATACATTCCTATTATGTATACATAAGTAAGTACATTTAGAGTTAGCAACATTGTTGACGACAATAAAAACGCGCAGCATGCTTACAAACAGACAAACGCAGATAATAAGACGGTAAAAACAGAGACAACAAAGTGATATGTACATAAATTCATATGTATGTATATATTAGTGACGTTGGAGGCGGCATGTCACTTCCGTCTCACAGTTGTAGCCGGCATTCAAACTACAGAGAGCCCGGCTCTAAAGCACGCAACACATGTACACAGTTTTTACACACACGCTTACCTACTGAGAGTCTGCCAGCCACAAGGCATCTGCTTACGTTCCACTCACCCATACAGAAAAATAACGTATTTGCCGACGCAGCTGCTGGTTGAGTTACAGCACGTCGTTCTCTCAGCTGTGTACGCAGAGTACTCAGTGCTGAGTACTCAGTTGCTGCTTTGAATTCGCCGGGAAGAGAACACTTAACAGAGCCTAAAAAGTGGTACAATAACAGCTCATATTGGCAGCAGCAAATTCGCCGCTTTTAGTTTTTCGTTCACGCTCCGCACTGCTGGTCGTGTCTGGTTGTTGTTGCTGTCGTCGTCGCCGTCGCCGCCATCGCGTCGTGTCGCTGCTGTTGCTGTTCAGTGAGAAAAAGAAAAGCTACATAAAAGTAAGCGACAACGCGAACTGTATCACGTAAAGCACCGCGTGGAGAAATACATTAAAACCTTTAATAAATGTTTGTGTAACTAAATAATTGATCAGGCAGTACCTCGAAAATTTTAAAAGTAGTTGCTATACTGACAACTGTTACAAAAATAATAATAGGAAATAAGCAGCATACGTAACACGCATAACGTCATTTCGCGGCTTACGTTTTCTCTGTGTACGCGCTCTCTTTCTCTCTCTCTCTTGCTTTCGCTCTCGGCAAGATACTCTCTTTCGCTGTACCGGCGACTCCATTTACTACTACGTCGAAACGACACTCAGGCCAGGCAGCGGCAGCACTCACTTTGCGTTTACGTCGGGGCCCATGAAGTTCGTTCAGTTCAGCGCAACAAAATGTAAAAACATATGAAAAGAAAGAAGAAAAAAACTGCACACATCTGAAGCACATTTAGATAACTAAACAAAAACAACAACAAGGCCTGTGTCTTATAATGCACGACCGTCAACAACAATTATGTGATATCTACATCAAATAAATTAATTTTTCGAACTGCTGACGTCACACGGCACGAAAAAGAGAAATAGACTTTTTGCGTTAAAGTAACAAAAAAAAAAAAAATAAAATAAAGTAACGTGAAAAATATACATAAAAACGCAAAAATATGAAACGTGTGTGATATTAAATGAGCGCGACGGCGGCAGCAGCAATAACAACTACAAAACAGCAGCAGCAGCAGCGACGACGTTGGCAGCAGCGGCGACGACGACGTAGGCGACGGCAGCAGTGGCGGCGTTTTCGGTCATTTGCTTTGTTGGTGGGTTATGCGTCGTGATATAAAACGAAGAAATTCCAATTTAGGTGCGTGAAACACACAAATTTCCTTTTCTCTTCTCTTTGGACATACAGTTTGATACCATTTAACAGTTCCTGTGAAACTGCCCAACCATGTGTTTGCTTTGTGCATGTATGTATATACATATGTGTGTTTTAAGTGTATGTGTTTTCGATCGACAATTAATCATACTTTTAAGTTTGCTTTGTGCTGCCTTTCATTTGCGCTAAAGCCCGTTAATAACCTTTAAATGCCTTTTTGTGTGTGTGGAGCTTGTGTTTGTGTTTTACTTGAAGTTTTACGACAGTTTGTAAATAGTTAACTTCTAAAGCAATCCTCTACACACATGTATTCTGTAGTCTACATGTCCGCGAATTAACATTGTACTAAAAAGTTGGTTCTGTAAGAGTTTGTGATAAGGGCATGATGGTGTTTGTTTTATTGCAACCCATGACTCGAAATGCGTCATGCATGTGGCATGTGGGCAGGAACTACATTTACATATAATCATAAGTATATACATATGTATGTATGTACATCCATCTACAAACATATGTACTGATTGCTTGCATAATGAATTTTTGATATAATATAATAGTAGTTCGGGACTTCCTTTAAAATTACGAACTCATGTTTGTATATGCCAACGTCTTTTGCGCCATTGAACCACTCTAAAATTCATGCTCACGCTGCCAACTTCCAAGGCAATTTTTTGCAATGTTGGCAAATTATTTTGCGACGCATTTTATAAGTCTGCCAAATCAAAGTTACTCTGTTATAATTTGCTCTCAACCGTCCACCCATCAACTGGAAATAATTTTGGCTTTCGCACCCACCAAATACATATGTATGTCTGTACATAACAGAAAACGAACAAGTTAAACAGCCCCTGTTGAGCCTAACAGAGCTCTGTTGTTTAATATATGTATCTTACGTTAGCATTTGCCATCTCGCTTGCACTGAGAAATTAAATTTAGTATACCTTACGTTTTCTGCTGCTCTTTACACTTGTTATTTCATTTCATTCAAAGTTGTTAATTCAGGAAGTACAAAAAACAAATATTACACTTTTGAAGTTACTCTTAATGATGTTCTCATTAAACCGGTGGCAACGCAAAAAATGATTGTTAGTGTCCGTTGATTGGTTTGATGCAATTAAGATCAGTTACCTTAATTTATAACTATATAAGTATGTATATGTATGTTTACATATGTAGCATATAAATTGAAGCTAATTTGATAACTGTATGCACATTGGTTGCCCATCAATAGCATAATAGATGTGGATCCTATGTCAGAAAACCGGCTGCGTCGCAATATATATGCAGTCCACACTAGACCGCAACAGCGAAACAGCAGCAGCAGCAAAATAGCAACAACGCTAAAATCTCTCTCAAGGCATGATCTAACAGCTGTTATGAAAACAGAACCGAACCGCGAGCGGCCGGCATTCTCGTAATCAAGTCGTGAAAGCAACCAGCCCAAGCATCCCCTTCTCTCTCCCACAGACGCACACTTGCACCCACACTGGCTTACATACATTATACACACAAAATACATAAATATATATATATAGATGAATAGGCGCATTAACAGAGCGTTGGCGATTGTGCTATACATACATACCAATTTCTTTTTTTTGGCGCTTACAGATTGCTGAATGGTTTTCTGACAAAATTTGTATACGATATGTTAAATATATGTACATGTACACATATGAGCTTGTGTGTTTATATATATATATAGTCTGTTTCATTTTATTTTTATTGTCTTGTTTTTTTTTTACTGCGCATGCAAAATGGCTGTGCAAAAGGAAAGCGAAACTTTTACGTGTGCGCTGCAGTCGGCAGTTATGCCGCTGCTCCGTTACTCTGCTGTGCATTACAGCTGGCGCGAGTGTGTGTGTGCATATTGGAGAGTGCGCACTTCTAAAGATACGATAAATGCAAAAGTATATCGTGTTACTATTTATTAATGTATATGAGTATGTACATAAGTATATGCATAATAAACCCAAATGTATATATGAGTAATTAATAGCGCATGTAAGAATTTATTCAACTATACCGTTGGATAACAGTTACAGTTACAGGGGCCAATTAGCAGCTGCTAACCATTAGTCATGGGCGGAGTTTTAAGACGGTGGGAGGGTGACAGCGCAGTCTGGTCATAGGTCTGCGTCGCATCCCGCCAATTAATTTTCTATTTAATACCTTTATCTTGTGTTTTACTTACTTTCATTTACAATGCGCTGCGCGCCTACGTCAAAGCTGAACCGCTATAGAAATAATCTTAGCGTGCGTGCACACCTCTCTTTCTATCTTTCGGTCTCCCTCGCCGTTATATACTCACCACGCCACAGATTAAATATCTGAGTATACATATGTATATAGTCTAGTATAATAGTACTTCTAGAGCATTTTCTTCATTACTCTCTGCTGTGTCATAAGGTTGAGTAAAAAAAGCTGAGCTTGTCGTTGTTACTTGGGTTATTTATTATCAGTAGGCCATTTTTTACGATTTGTAGCTATTTCATTTCATTTTCATGTACTCTTCCCTGTTTGCATAATGTGTTTCTTTTTCTCCAAGTCACAGTTGCTTTTAGTGTTTACCTTTCGACTTGTTGTTATTAGATAAACACATACAACGAGATGCCAGACAAGTGCACTTCACACACAAACACAAGCACGATCAAATTAATACGATTAATACTACACACACACATGCATACAAATTCATGCAAAGCTATTGTAAAGGCATAGTAAGTTAGTATCACTCTAAAAGCTCTAGGCAGGTTACACAAGGAGCACTTCCTTTACCTTGAATGTTAACTACGAACAGAATTTTGTCAAGTGCTCTTAAACGATCAAAATAATATAAAATATTTATACCTTGAACCCATTGAAACCGGGAAATCAGGTTATAAGAGTTATGTGATGGATACGAGAATTTTGTAAGATTTTAGATACCACGCCCCCTTCGTCCACAATTAAAAAAAAAACGTATTTAAAGTACTTGAGACTTGTGCTTTGGAATATACACACGACTAGAACACTCTTTTTTTATTATAATAAATTCTAATGGTAAGCACCATATAAATGACAGGCAAGTCCCTTATTAATATTTCCCATAGCCTCATTTATGTCTATCTAAATACATAAATATACATACATCGAAGGTACGTCAATAAAGCTGCTTCCTACACTTGCTGCAGTGTCAGACACATCAGAATGATGAAAGTATTTACAGATTATGATTGATAGCTTATAGCGTAGAGACACAGATAATCTACCTGAAGTAACTTCAAAAATCTTAACAATGCTACACATAATCTTTTGCCGCCAGAAATATAATATTAAAGAGGCAAACATTATAATGAGAATTGATAGAATAAATTAATAATACTTTCCAATCTAACTTAATTTAATAAAAATAAAGTAAACTTACTCAACACCAAAATAAGAATTAATTGCGTATAAGCTGCAAAGAAAACAGTTAAGAAAAAAATGAAACTAAAATTTAAAATCATTTAGAAACTACTTTACGATTTTAATTCATGCACTGTGTTTAAGAGAGATAACAGTGTCAAAGGTTCTTCATTGTGAAATGTGACGTCACACTGTCAAGTTAACAGACCGATTTTCGTAACATAGCATGACTTGGTTTTGGAAATGTTAAGAGCTCAGAGCAGGCGTGTAATCTGTTATAAACAGTAGATAGATTAATTAGCATAAAATCGTTGTGCTTATTATATCCATAGGTAATCTTATACGCTTTCTGAAACTGTATATGCGAAATTGAATAGTATACGAAAAATGAAAAAATATTTGGTGTGTATTTAAATTAATTTCAAAGGACCTACCTGGTGGCAGCCTTGCTACCCTTGATATAATGTAGGCTGCTTTCTTGCCCACATAATTTCTGTGTATAAAATTTCCATGTTTGCGATTTGAATTACCTACCTAAAAAAATCTGTAAACAGATACCGTTTTTTTTATTTTATTTTTTTTTTTTTTTTTGCACAAAAAGAGATAAAGCAACAACGAAATCTCAGCAGCCTTCAATTTGTAGAGAAGATACCGTGAGCGAATGAGGAAGAGAGCGAGAGTGCGCAAATGAAACTCTGGCTATTGTTACCTACCTGCGCGGACTCGCCTCTGTCTCTACGTCTGTCTCTGCCTTTGCCTTTGCCTGTTGGTTGAATGTTTATTTCTTGCCAATTTCAGCAAATTCCATGCGACGTTCCATTTATTTCGCTCGATTTGCATTTCATTCTCTGCACACAAACATATTTCTTTATAGATATGCATGTATGTGCTACGCCTGTTCGTGTGTGCGAGCACGTTTTTAATTTACGTGTGTTTAACAGTGAGCGCTCCATTCAATGGCGCAATTAACAGTTTGTACATTAGTAAGCTGCGGCGCTTGTCAAATGCAAACACGTCGATCCTAACAGAGCTCTAAAGCAGTATTACGAAATACTGGCAAGTGTTGATTTTTGTTTTTGCTGTTGCTGTTGCTGTTGCTATACACTTGGCCCTGTTCTATCTTATTTAAGCTTTGAAATTTGCCAGCCACAAATAAAAACTCGAAGAGAACAGCAAATGTTTCATTTTCGATAATGAACTCAAACCCCTGGAGATGTTGACGCTGGCGAGAAGCGGTTAACAAAACGCTAACTATATAACGTTACTCGTTTTACCTGTTACTGTTGTTGTTGCTCTTTTTGTGCTTCTCTTCTTCACACGCTACGTTGCGTCCAGTCTTGGGGTATTGATTGTTTCAATAGTATTTTATGCTGAGTTTATTGACATTTGCGTTTGCGCTTGCGCGACGATGACAACAAATAACAACAACACAATATTTCTTTTAAAAATATTTGCCGAGCATACATACATAATTAAAATTTGTCTTCTCACTCTTTTTCTCTCTCTCTATGTGCTTGTCTGCCATTATCATTTTACAGCTGCATGTTAATGCTATGTAAACGCTGCCACATTAGCATACAATGTTAAGAAAACAAACAAGCGAAAAGTGGCGCAAAAGTTGAATGTGCCAATTGCATAAATATAAAGTCAGAGAGCACTTGACTAATTGTTGCATTTTCTCTCTTTTACCATTTCTATTGCAGATGTGAAGAATCCCTAGGTGCTAATTTAGTTGATAAGCTCAAACAATAAGTACAATAAACGCAAACGAGAAACACTAGGCAAACTTTTCGACGGGGTGGCAACGTTTCTACCAGTATCATTCGCGCTCCAAAGTATGCTACAGCAAAAAGCGAACGGACGCCGCGCTGCCATGCCAACGACGTAGCAGGAAAGAGAGAAACAAAATAAAAGACAAAGCGAGAGAGAGAGAGAGAGAGAAAGAGAGAGTCACGAGCAGGTGAGCGGGAGAGCTGGAGAGAGCGCAAGACAAAACTATTTTTGTAGTAACTGCTGGCAGAGAGCTGAAGAGCTGAAGAGCGGGAGAGGAGGAGAGAGGAGAGAAAGAGCACGCAACTGCGAAATGTCGAATTTCTTGATAACCACCGCCGCGCCCAAAAGCCACAACAACAGCAATAGCAACAGCAACATCAACAGCAGCACCCAGCGACTGCATCAACTCTATGGAGTGGGGGGCAACCAGGTAGCGCGCAAGCTCAGCTACGAGCTGCTGGGCAACAACAACAATAATAATATTGTGATCAAAAACGAAAATCTGCTGGATGTCCGCAACGACAGCAGCAACAGCGGCGGCGGCGTCGCTGCCCACCTGCGGGATCACGTGTACATAAGTCTGAATAAAGCTGGCGGCACAACAGCGCCGGCAACCGTTATAGCAGAAGCAACCAACACACATCAGAATCAGAATCAGCAGCAGCAGCAGCAGCGAAATAGCGGCGCAGCTGGCAAGGCGAACGATATCACACAATATTACAAGGTAATTAAATAGAACTTGTGATTGATGAAGTAGAGTTAGGCTGACTACTTACATTATCCGATTCATCGTAATTGCGCATCCTTTTTGCCATAGGTCAAGCGCCGACCGAACGTAACGACCCACGAGATCCACCCCAAGAAGCAGGCCAAGCAAAGCGCACAGCACCAGACAGTCACCTACAACAGCAGCAGCAGCAGCAAGCAGCAGCTGCGCTATCACCAGCAGCAGCAGCAGCAGCAGCAGCAGTACGAAATCGACCACGACGAGGAAGACGATGTGGAGACGAGCAAGTCGGCTGGCAACGGTACTTTGCATTCGCATTCGCATACGCATGCACTGTCCCAGCAGCAAACGGCGCTCGTGACATCGTCCTCGGCTTCGACTGGCGGCGGCAGTAGCAGCGGCGGAGGCGGCGATCGCAATCGTGCGGACACCTCGCTGGGCATATTGACCAAAAAGTTTGTGGACCTGTTGCAGGAGTCGCCGGACGGCGTAGTCGATCTGAACGATGCGTCCACCCGGCTGTCCGTGCAGAAGCGTCGCATCTACGATATAACGAACGTCCTCGAGGGCATTGGCATCTTGGAGAAGAAGTCCAAGAACAATATCCAATGGCGCGGCGGCCAGTCGCTGGTCAGCAGCGAACGATCTCGGCTCATCGAGACTGAGAGTGAGCGGCTGGAGCAGCGCGAGAACGAGCTCAACACCCTAATCGACCAGATGCGTGGCGAACTGGCCGAAATATCACAGGAGGTGGAGAATGTGGGCGGCATGGCGTACGTAACGCAGAGCGATCTGCTCAACGTGGATCTCTTTAAAGATCAGATTGTGATCGTGATCAAAGCGCCACCAGAAGCCAAACTTGTAGTAAGTCCTAGACCCTAGACTCTAGTATAAACATGTAGCTGTGAGAGTGGAACAGAATCTAAGATGTTAATCTCTTGCGAAGGGGCGAATCCTCCTTAGGTAGCCTTGTAATCTGAATGCTGTTCAGATGAATTCAACAACTTGAAATACTTGAAAATCCAACTCTATTGGGCTGATTTCAAACGAACTTAACCACGTTGATAATTTCCTATTTTTTGTCGAACGGCGAGAAATCTATCTGTAGCTGATTCTCTAGTTTTTCTCGTCGCTTTTCGGGCGACGACGTCAGACAATTGTGCTTCTTCTTTGCGTCTGCATGCCATTATAGATGGCGGCCTATTTTTAGACGTGCCTCTGACAACGACAAGCGACGCACTGCAAAATTGAAGCAAATCTACTTTGCGCCTTCTCCCCGCGCGACTGTCTCCCGACTCCTGCTCATCATTCGCAGCTTCTCAGATCCCCAGACGAGGCTCCCAATAGCTACAGCTGAGTGCTGCCTGCACATGTGCTTTCCCTTACTCAATCCGAAGCAAGAGCAAAGATTTTTCCATACATATGTGTGTATGTGTGTATGTGTGCGAGTACACGTCTCTCTAAGAAGCAGAAATCCCAACAGATTTTCCAATTGGATTTGGCATAGTCCCCTCATCTGCCCGCCTGTCCGCCTTCTTGCGGTCTCTTAGCCACACACTATTTATAAATAATTCGCTTAATGTTTCCGCTTGCCTTGAACTGTTTAATGAACTCGCGCGCGACGCACGCACGCACGAGCGCGGAAAACTTATGGAAAGGCTGAAGGCTGTTGCAATGGGGCACTACTGGAATGCCAGATGTGTTGCGTGGTTAGGTGGCGCCAAAGCCAAATGCAAATTCATTTACATTTCTGTATTGTAACTCCTATTAACGATTCAACTATTTTCTTCCCTATGACAGCTGCCTAATACGAAGCTGCCGCGCGAGATTTACGTCAAGGCGGAGAATAGCGGGGAGATAAACGTGTTTCTTTGCCACGATAACTCTCCGGAGAACTCGCCAGTCGCAGGGGGCTCCGGCTATGGGGGTGCAGGGTCCCTGGGTAGCAACGGAATACGCACGGCAACGTCGACGCGACTGCAGCAGCGCATCGATCCTCTATTCAACAACATTGATGCCATGAGCACCAAGGGGCTGGGTAAGCTGGCGATCTAGTAGTCGAATGTCGATCGAAGATTCTAATGCTTTGTTCCATCCGTATGCAGGCTCTCCACCGTATCGCTTAGCAGCGCAGCGCAACCTCAGCAAATCCATTGAGGAAGCGGCAAAGCAATCCCAGCCTGATTTTAGTAATATTTGTGATATGGGCAGCGTCAAATCTGAGACGGCCTCGCCGCAACGCCAGCTTCAATGGCACACGACGCAAGCGAGCAGCAGCAATGCTGATGATGATGATGATAATGATGTCGATGACGAACTGAATCAGCTGGTGCCGACGCTCACCAGCCCAGTGGTGCGCAGTCAGCGGCACGGGCGCGCCATTCAGCAGATTCTAAACAGTCTCACACAATCCTCGTCTCCTACGAAGACGAGCGCCGGCATGCCTCGCGGCGCGACAGCGCGGCTTTGGCGACGCCCCGCCAACGTCACCGGCAACGCAACTACGCTTAATAGTCATAACCGATCCGTCAGCAGCATCAACCAGAACCACAATTCGCAGCCACAGGGCGGCACAGTTAATTACAGCAATCAGCTGCAGCAGCGTCGTAGCGACGTACCCATGTATAACTGTGCAATGGACGACGCAACTGCGTCAACGTATGCTGTTAGTGATAACAGCAGCAACAACACCCATAGCAGCGGCATTAGCAGTGGCAGCGGCAGCGGCAGCGGCAGCAGTAACTCCACTGCCATGGGCTCTCTGGACATGCAGTTTGCGGCAGTTGCCGGCAATATGCCAGCGACGACATATGGTGACATCTCTGGCGCTGGCGCCAACATTAATCAGCAGCAGCAATACAGCAGCAGCAACAACAAGGAAATTTATCGCGGCCTGACGCCTGCTGCTGTGGCCGACTGTGACGCCGACAGCGATGGCAGCAATGTGGCGCTTCAAGGTCTCGATGCGCTCCTAGGCGACTTTAGCAACTTTGGTAAGTCAGGTTCTATATCGGAAGTGTTGAATTGCTCCATAATATCTGTTACGTAAGGTAATGTAAGTGTCATGCAGGCATCGAAACGTCCATTTAATTCGATACATCTGTAGACACCATGTAAATAACAGCCGCAAGTTTTACAGTGCCTATGTAAACAGTTCGCATTCGATTTGAAGCGCACTTAACAAGAACTTTTTCTGTGACCTGCGTGAATTCCTATATGCAAACCGCATCACAGTCTGAGTTCTTGCTTAGCGCGCACTTCGCACAGCAACATAAAAATCAAAATCAAAATATATATTTATAGCTATGTATGCATATAATGCATATATGCATATATATATGTATATATATTACAAACTGAAATTAATAAAAATTAAAGTGCTTTGTATATTTTAATTTCTATAGAATTTTCACAGCAGTATTTTGGCAGATACCAACCCAACAATACGAGAATCAGTTCAAAATTGAATTTTAACTTTGTTTTGTATCAATATGTTATCATTTAACGGTTTAGTGAAATGTGTATTATAAATCATAAAAAAAAAAAAAAAAAAAAAAAAACAAATAACAAATATCAATTCCTGTGCGCGCGTTCTCTCACTCTAACATAATCCACACACACACACACATACATACCTACATACATACATACACACACACACGCACACACGCAAAATCATATACATCATTTCACATTTGACATTCAGCTTTTGATGTGGGACAATTTAGCTGTTATTAGGCATCGCTGTTAGTTAACAGTGATTCCATAATACATATACACGATTACACACTTCATTTCACACATGACATACCGTTTTCAATGGGACCATCTAACTCTTATACTTACGCTGTTAGTTAACAGTGACACTATGTTGATTTGAAATGAACATTGCATCGTTGTACACTTATTTGCATATTTGAGATTGTATGCTTCAAGTATAATATTTATGTATTCACATGCCGACAAATATCAATGGATACCATTAAAAAATTCATTTTGGAACTGAATTCTCGTGGGTCTGCAGTGCACTGTAACCGTTGCAGAGGGCAATTGTTCAAATTGAAATTGAAATTTTGTAGCACCATGAGATTCAGCTCTGGCGTGAGTTTCAAACATGCATTCACCAAAAAATGAAATTCAAGCAAAAAATAAAAAGAAAACAAAATAAATAAATAAATCATTTCCACTCAATTATCATTTATTAATATTAATGTATATGTCTAGTAAAATAATTTTACTAATTAGTTTCTCTCTCTATCTCTCCCTATGTATGAATATATTGATACATATATTCATGTATTTTATATACTTGCAGATTTCGATAAAGCTTTTGTATCCATCGATCCGCCAGATGATATTGAATATCCCTATGCTCTTAATGCCAACGAGGGTATCGATCAACTCTTCGACTTCAGCTCTGATGCCTACGGCACTGATAACTGTGAATGGAGAGATGCGGGGAAAAAGAGTGGGGAGGGGTGTTTATAATTCAAAATTATATACAAGAAAAGCAGCGCATATTACGTTAGAGATGATCTATTATTATTATTATTATTACAAATTACAAATTATCAAGTAAAAGAGAACAACAGCAAAACCTAAAAAAAAAAATAATTAAACAAAAAAAAAAAAAGTGTAGAAAACTTAATGAAACTAAGTTGTGTGTAAAATTTTAAGCATTAAAACTACATTTAAATTTATAATCCAAACATGTATTTTAAGTTTAAAGAAATTTCCCCACAAAATGCAAAATACATTTTATAAGCATATTTAAATTCTTAGCATTAAACATCAATAAAAACAGGAACAACGCAAACAATAGCAAACACACAAAACAAAGCCTAAAACACAAATCAATTTGGAGTAGAAGAAAAACCTCAATAAAAGTTGTTTGCGTTCGAGCTGTCTGTAAAATAGGTACACACACAAATAATTTTAAATTAGTAAAACCAAATAGTTATACAATTAATAATTACTGAAAATACATAACAGATTGTCATCATTAGCGATGCTAAATATTCCAAAAACAGCAGAACATAAAAAGGAAGACCACAACGAGCCCGTATCTCTGTTACTCTCAAATAATTCCCAGTTTACGATCTGCATGCAACTCACAGCCAGGAATTATAATTGTTAAATCGAGTCACACAAGGGTGTGGGCACCTGCGAAGAATTTGTATGATTTCTATGTACTTGTTTTGTTAACTGTTTGCCGTTTGCCGTTTGCTGTTTACATATACATATATATTTCACTAGCCATTTCAAGCCAGACTCTGCCCCTTCAATTCACTCTGTGCGTTTGATTCAGTTCTCAAAGAAAAGTGCAGAATTACTTATTTGTTATTGTTATGAAAGTGTAAACTAGAAATTAAAAGCTTCAACTGACTCGACACTCGCAGTTAAACGAATATAGGAGCGACACCGCCTCGTACGCAAATAGCAATTCATAGTTCACCAACAAAGTTAAAAAGCCAAATCATCGCCCCACACAATTGAATCCAACAGATAACAGCCAATTGCAACTAGTTATTAATATCGATCACCTAGAGATAAACAAATTTACATAAGTGTATAAAAGCAAGATGACGATGAAGAAAGCTCTATAAATATAATTTTATTTTATTAACAAACAAAAAACTTGTTAGGTACGTTTCTTTCGTGTCAAAACAGAATCAACAAAGAAAAAAAAATAAATATTACAAAGCAAAAAAATAATTTGATTATATTTACTATTTATTGGTTTGGGTGGCTGAGTTTTAATATTTGATAATTTAAGTGTCCCTTTGTACAGTATCAGGTCTAAGCTTCTCAATCTCAATAAGTCGGCTATTATTGTTGAATATTTACAGTATTATACAACACTTTCAAATAAATTTCAATGAAGAGCTTACAAAACACCAGATACTACAAGTGGGTCATCTCTTAAAAAATATACTCTCTTCTGTAAAGTATGTAAAAGTCAGAAGCAGGCATCGCAGCCCCATAAAGCCCCAAGATATAGGAGCTAGAGACTTGAAATTTTGCATGCATACTCGTGTATACCATTAGCAGTACGAGTTTATCATATTTTTCGATAACTTATCCGATTTTTTATGACAAATTGATCTCGTTTTTTCAACCAAACTTTAATATTATTGTACCTAGAGCTTTCAGATCTACGTTGTTTATACATATATACACAGATTTTGGATACCGCGCCCCCATCGCCCACAATTACCCTGAACCCTCTAAGCTGATATTCTAATCATTCTGCACTTCTTTTATGCACACATACATACACATGCATCCACACGCCCGCATAAGCCTGCGCTCTGCTAACTGCGCAGTAAGCAGCGACTGCGCTTGGGCTGCGCTGCAGTGTGGGCAATATTATGAGAATAATATACTGCAAATACATATTTGTTGAATAATTTCTTTTGTAGACGTACGATCTTAACGAAACTTTTAAAACGTAATCATATGGTGAATATGTGTGTACATTCCAAAGCACAAGTCTCTAGTACTTGAAATGCGTTTGGCGTGGTATCCAAAATCTGTAAATTACAAAGTCTTTGTATTTGTATTTTTGTATTTTTAGATTATTCTCGATAAAAAAGATATCGGATGATTTATCGAAAAAATAAAGCAAACTCGTACTGCGTATGGTACACACGAGTATGCATGCCAAATTTCAGCTCTCTAGCTCTTATAATTTCTGAGATCGACGCACTCATATGGACGGACGGACGGACGGACGGACAGACGGACAGGGCTATATCGACTCAGCTCGTCACGCTGATCAAGAATATATATACTTTGTGGGGTCTGCCACGCCTTCTTCTGCCCGTTACATACTTTTTCACAAAACCATTATACCCTGATTTCCCATTTTCAATGGGTTCAGGGTATAAAAATAAACCTATTCCAAATACTAGAGACTTGTGCTCTGGAATATTCATAATTTGAATATTATGATCATGTTCTAAAAGTTTCAAGATAGCCCCAGTATAGGAGAAATTATTCAACAAATAAATTCTCATACTATTGCAACCTATGGGTTGATTTTGAAAACATGGAATAGTGTGAAAAGGTTTTATTAACATAAGAACGCTGCATATAGTTCGTCGGCATTCCTTACAAAGTCTAGGGCAACAAAAATGAAATACCATAAAAAAATTCCAATTTACTCATTTTACTTTCATTGAGCATGGGTATGTAAATCCAGCATTCCATATATAAAGTTCAAGTCGAATCTTTAGTGAAACAAGGGATTTTTTCATTTATGTATACTTATTTAATTTTTATTATAGTCTCGCAATAATATTTTCATTAGATCGTAATATGTGTAGATGTTTATTTCACTTATATAAACAGGAAACAATTAACTTAATTTTACATTTACAATTAGCTTTAGTTAGAAATAATAAAAATATTGAAGCTTTTTTTGTTTGTTTTGTTTTGTATTAATTTTTTATATAATAGGGTTTTTGTTTGGGTGTGGTACATGTATATACAAAAGCAGCCACGTGCACTGACCCGATGCTAACTATTGAGAAAATTAAAAATCTATATAAGTTCTCACCTGGGCCGATACGACTGCCTATAGTTATTTTTTGCAAATTTCGCATATTCTTGTTATTTTTTTTAAGCATCTGCAGTTCGAAATAAAATTGAGTTAATTCCACTATTAAATAATTTTTTATAATGCTTTCGGCTGCCTTTCATATATATGTAGATATATATTTATATTTACGTTAATTAATTTATAATTCCATTAATTGTTTTTACGTTTTGTTTTCGCATTAAGTTTATAATCTTCGTTAGAAAGTTTGCTTTATTATGTACATAAAAACAAAAGGAACTATCTTTTTCAGTCTTTTAAGTGTGTGTATGTGTATATATATATATATATATATATGTGTTTGTGTGTGTGTGTTTGTGTGTGTGCGTGTGTGTGTGTATATGTGTATGTGTGTGTCTGTGGCCTATTTATGTAGAATATTCATCATTTCTTCTGCGTGTAGCAAATTGTATCAATCAATTTAAATATTATGCATGCAGTTGTGTCCTTTGAAGCTTTCTATATGTTTGTATAATTGTTTTAAATATTTTAAGTTACCTGGTATTATTTATCCATGCAAATATAAAATGTCAGTAAGAAAGAACGTCGCTTGCGTTTTTCCTCTTTTTCTTTCATATACTCAGATATATATTATATAAAGAGCAAAGGCCAATATCGAATACTTTTGTTATTTTTGTTATAATATTTTGTTAAGCTTTCCTAGTTGCATTCTATTGCAGTTGGGGAGATTGTGTGTATGTGTGTGTGTGTGCATGTGTGTTGCCCGCAGTTGTATGTTTATTATTCTGCTTTCATGCAAAGTCTCTTCTGACCTGAAGTCGGGCAACTACTGAGCGTGCAGTGTTATTTATTTCTATACATGTATATATTATTAATATTTGTAGGTTTATTTGTAATTCGTCTATTGCTTTTCCATGTATTTTTAGGTTTAATTTGGCTGTGTAATTTGTCTATGATCCAAACGGAGAGTCTACTCTTAATAGTTCTCATTTGACTGCATTCAGTTTGTTCCTTGTTTCTTTAGCTACTTAATATGAGTGGATCTTACTAATATGTTTCCATGTCAACTTCATTCTACCTGTGTTTGTGTGTGTGGGCGTGACTGTTAGTGTGTTTTTTCTCAACAGTTATGTTACAATAAAATGCGTCGCATAAATAGCATACATATTTGTAAATAGCATATAAATATGTAAATTATGCAGCAGTTATTTAAGCTCTCAATTACGTAATTTGAAGCTTGGCTTCAACCCAAATTAATTTAGATTAAAAAGAAACACAATTTACACCTCTCTCTCATCTCTGTCTCTCCTCTCTGTTATCTACCCATATCTTTCTAGCAAGAGAGTGCCGTTCTCTGTAGCTCTGTACTTTTGTGTAATACAAAATAATTCTCTCTCAGCTCAAACTTTTGCCAGCTGCCAAGCGCTATGCATTAAATTAGCGAACGTTCTCTTCGATTTTCTTTTGCATTTCATTTACAGATGAATTTTTTATAAAACGAACACTTGAACATAAACTCACTAAAAGGTTGCAATACAAATGGCCATTAACAAAAAAATCGAAACAAAAATGTTTGAGTACATGTAAATTCTAGCTAGTGTTTTGTTGTTGTCTATAGTTGGTAATAATAACTAACTAATTTAAAGTTATTAACTCAGTGTTGATATTTTGTTTGTTGTATTGCTTATTGTTGTTGCTGTTATGGTTTGTTTTTGTAGTTGTACAGTTAGTTTGCTTCATTGTTGCATCGCTGCATGTTTTGCTTGCGTATATAGGTGCTAAAATAATTATTACAATTATACCATAAGTTAGGTAAGGTTTTTATGCATACGTATAGTATTTAAGTCTAGTTATAAACGGTACTTAGGTTGGTTGGTTGTTGGCTTTTGTACTTTTGTTATTTGCATTTAGGACTTTTGTTGTTTTTTTTTTGTTTTTGTTTTGTTTTTTGATTTTGTTGTGTGTATGTGTGTGTATGTCTGTTTGAACGGCGCTAGTAAATTATAAAAGAAATACTTAACAAATACGAATATATACAAAATTAAGCTTATAATAAATTATTAGGAGGCTTGGCTGTGGGCAAAAGTTCGCTGGCGGCCTTAATGCTAAGCATGATTTACACGTGTTGGGGTGCATTGACCCATTAACGCCAACAGCGCAGTGGGGTGAGCTCTCTGCTCAAGCTGTGCGCGTTTGCTCTCGTACACAATTCGAGTTGATTGCAAATATTTAGCAGCAGGCACACACAAGCCTTCCCCTCTCTTGTTCTGAGTTCCTCCGATCACCACATCCCTCCGTCCAAGACTAACATATCCTTATACTAATTGCTACATATACATGTATTTACAAAATTCTCTCGACACATGCGCCCTTTGTTCTACGCTTCGTGTCCTATGAAACCATTGGGTGGCTGTGGTCGTGTTGTGTTCGGCTGCCTTAACCAATTTTCCTTAAGTATATTGGATGTATTGGCGGTCGTCGCCGCAGCAGCAGCTGTTGCATACGCCGACGTCGACGTCGCCGCCGGTGCTGTTGTCGGTGTTTTGCGCGTCTGACTAACGCTGCGGCTGCGCGACGGCTGCTGCTGCGACTTGATGCGAGCGCGCTGCTTTGGTCGACTGAGCGGCATGCGCTCCATTTTAATGTGTTCCGTATGCTCATCATCTTCCTCTTCGTCCTCGTCGCTGAAATTATTAATATTAATATTAATATATAAATCGAATCTGGAATATATATATATAGAACTTTTACTTGTCATTCTCGTCTTCATTGGAGCTACCAGATTCGATGTGCACCGGACCTCCTATCGTAGATGCATAGATTGGATTCGCGCTGCTAATGACGTCATCCTGTCCAGATCCCGACTTGGGTTCGCTCATCAGCATATAGTTGGGATTGTCGCTAAGCATGCTGAAGGGCGCTGCTGCCGCTTCTGCTGCGGGCGCCTGCATAAGCTCGTAGTTGGGATTCAGACTACTAGTGGTTAGCTTGGTTGGCGGCCAAGCCGAGTGCACTTTTTCTCCACTATTTAAGGATTCATCCAGCAGTTTATAATTTGGATTGTCGCTAATAATGGTGGTGCTGCCATTGCCCCCACCACTGGGCGTAGTTGCCGTGGGCGTGTAGTATCGGGGTGTGCCCGCATAGCTGCCTG